CTGAACTAGAACTTTGCTAATTAAGATACAGTTTATTTTATCAATTGATTGACACGTGTTTCCTTGCAGTATTTATTCCTCAGGCACAAAATTACTAAATTCATATATTGTATATTGTTAAGCAAAACTCATTTTATCTGAGCTTCAGGTCTAATTTGTTTTTGTAGGATTGGTTTTGTTGCTGGCTACAAGAGATTCAACCTACAACAGGCTACTCAGCCTTCAGTGTCCACAAACTTCATTACTTTAAGCAATTCTTACACAAGGAGAATGACAGTATAGCTATGACTTTTTTTATAAAGCCCATCCAGACATCATGTGGAAACACATGGCAAATTTTCCTATTTATACCCAAGAATCTAATCTCAACTCCTGACATCTGTTTGCAGGTCATCAGGAATATCTATGTTTTAGTCTTGATTAAATATTTGTGCAGATCTAAATGTTTAAGGGAGATTAAATGTTATTAGTCATACACATGCTGATTCCAATACCAAAACAGTATTTCAGCATTGGTATAAGGCAGAGTGTTTGGGTTGTAAGGCAGCCCCTACCTCTTACATGTAAACTTGTATATTCTATTACCAGGTTAATATTAAACTCGGTCTCTTGTGGCTTCACCTAAGCAAAGAATTCTGCAAGTAATTAAACTCATGTCTTAAATATAAATTTATGCTTTAGTTGCCCAGGATACCTCCTAAATCACATCTCAAATTAAGTCTGCAGGTGGTTACACAGGTTTAGGTACAGTTATGAACCTGCTTACAAACCAACTTTCACCACCATAATTCAACCAGTTTAACCTTCACCTTCAACCATTTTGGTACATGTATGTGAAACATTTCATGCTTGTGAAAGATTATCAGCATTGTTGCTTTGATTTACTACCAATGTCTCTGCCTGACACGCTACAGAAGTCAAGCAAAAATGAAAATTAATGCTTCCAGTAGTAACTTGTTAAGACAAAGCTTATCAGAATTCATAATTATGCAGAGAACTCCCTTAATCCTCACTGATGTCAAGTGGTGGGGTGGGGGAAGGTGTTCCACTTAATCCAGTCTATTCACATTACCACTCAGCTCTCCTGATTGATTAAAAAGAAAAGTGAATTTGCATATGAATAAATTTATATTTCAGAACCACTAAGAAAACTTTGAACAAAAAAAAAATAGCTCTGACTAGTTTAGATTGTGAAAAGCTAACAAACATTAACTTTATTTGGTAGCATCATTTTTTTTTTTGCTATGTAAAAACTAAACGTGAAGCAAACTGTAGCTTACAGAAGTTTCCTAGGACTGCTCTGACTGCAACTATCAAAACAGGATGCCTGATGCAGTTTTCCTTTTGCACTTACTGATACTGAATTTCCATTTTTACCTTTGCATCTATTTCTTCAGCTTTTTCATTGGCCTCCTGCTCAATGAAAGCCATCATATGCTTGATCTGTAACAAGAGAGAGAAAATAAAATATTTTCTATAGTGAAGTACTTCAATGAGAGGAAATATAGATCTATTTCTCATTTGTACAGTAGGCTACCCCATATCCATTCACTAATTAATATAATAATGTTGTTTTTCCAGGAAATGAACTTGAGCATACAGGTCAAAGAGTCAGCTCAGTTTAACACTGATGACAAGAAAACATTTTTTCCCCAAATAATGAATATAATGTTATTTCACTGGCTGTCATTAGAAGAATGTACTTTAGATATGCAACTATACAAAAAAAACCCCAAAACCTCAAAAGTCAATTTGTATAAATGTGAGGCTGAGTATTTTCATTCTTCACTAGTGAGAAAAACTTTTCTTTTTTCTAGATTAGTAAAGTAAAAATAAAAATTCACACCCAGTAAAATTAACATAGTCTTTTCATTATGACATTTACATAAAACATAGAAGATTTAACACAGAGTCCCTGCTCCATGTCAGGCACAGATGGCACTTGAATGAACCTGAGTCTTCCACACTGGATGAGCAGTGAAGCAAAGCAGAGGGCTACTGACCACTCTGGTCAGATCTGTACAACCGAGGTTCCTTTACACACTTGAGAAATGTTTCTTGGAAAAAAAATGTAAGAAATTCTGTAAAAACTTAAAAGGCCATTTAAAAAATGCTGCTATATGGTTCAACTCAAAAGGACTTTGTAAAGTAGCTGCATATTAGTTTGGAGGAGCTGGGGAAGGAGACAACTAGTTGATCAAGACCACCTCAAGTCCATCACGTGCTGCTTTAGAGCCTGGTTTGCACTAACAGATTTTACTTGAAGAATCTTTTTGAAACCACTTCAAAGCACTAGAAAACACAGGTCCAACAGCTGAAAGACAAGGAAAGCAATTATATTGAGTTCTGCTTATTTATCACACACCTTTCTGTGACCAGGTCTAAGTTTAGGTTCCCTTTTGGGGCAGACTGTAAGGACTCGTGTCCAACCAAACTGAAACTTTGAGCAGTTACAGACATTTCCAAGGCCAGGTGGGATAGACCAGGTACCTGAGCAGCCCATAAAAACCTACTGACTTTTTGCTTGCACTTAGTGAGGAGGCACATTTTGTGGACAATCTGGTCTGAATAAACTTGCACAGATGATACTATTCATATCATCTCAAGTTAAAATGAAATATTTCAAAGAGATAAGAAAGGTGCCAACAGGAAAACTGAGCCAACGTACAGAACAGCACCAGGCCCATAGAGATGAAAAACCAGAAGTGAAGAGACAAGTGGAAGATTTGAAGCACGTGCAGTGGAAGAAGTGAACAATAATACCCACATCCTCAAAACCAGAACAGAATTTGTTTCTTTTAATTCCAGTTTGCAACACTGCCAAGTGTGTGTCAACCTATGGTGTCGGTTTCCTACCCTGCTGGCCTGATGAGACAGCTGGTGAAACCAAGCTTCAGATCTACCTGCATTTCAGAAAGGACAAGAGAGGGAGATAAAAATCAGGAAATAACTTTGCTGAAGAGCCTGTTGTTGAAGGAGATTAAGAACTCCTGTGCAGCAGTAGTAACCCTGACATTACTGAGCCACTTCCTCCAGTTTGGTTTAGTTTCTGAATTTTGTAAAAGTACTTTGAACAGTTCCAGGTGTTCAAGAAACATCCTCTGCATAACAAAGAAGAACATGATGGAAGCAAGCTGATCAGGCATCCATTTCCTCTAGTCTGGTGTTATTTCTTCCAAAATCTGTTATACTGAAATCCCTTTTTTGCTTTCATAGAAATGAAAAGAGACCCTAAGTGAGACCTCCATAAACAGGATTAGTTTTAGTAAGACTGACAAAAATATGTATTTTTTAAATAAGATATTTATTTTAAATTAAAACCTTTAGCACAGTAGTATTTCCTATAGAAAGGAAGAGAGGGTTTTTCCCATCAGTAGTCATGTGATTATCCTTTCCAAGGGAAGTTCTAGATGTTAGACTGCCTTTAGCTAGAAATGACTAGCCAGATTAAATAGAACAGTCTGTTAAATGGTTTTGACAGAATAAAGCAAGCAAGTCTATCAATGGGAAAAAGTCTTAATTAGAGATTATTTTCAAAGTAAAAGTTACTGAAAGCCCCACAGCAAGTAGCTAAGAGTTCAGAGGATCAGTTGGCAAGTTCATACCAGATGAATACACATGCAGAACTGTCATGCCATCAGCATCATCCTCCTTTCTAGTCAACAGGATCAGCTGAGGCTCAGGAGTATGAAACACTGACAAGAGAGTTGTAGGTGTGAAATACCATTAGCATTACATGTTTAGTATAGCAACAGATCCTGAACTAACCTGTGAAGCTCAGGTCCATGGTGGCTGAGCAAGACCACCTCAATGTCAGCTTTATTTTTATTATCTTCATGGAAGAGGTAGGAAAAAAAACAAACCAGCCTTGTGGATAAAAGGCAAGAGAATGTAGTGTCACAACTCCCCTTTTGCAGAAAGGCAACCTACTGATTTTACTTTCAATGTGACGCTTCCTTGCCAAGAGACTATGTTTACTGAATGAGAAAGTGAGACACGCAGCACTTCGGATGCAAAGGACAAAGGGAACTTGGCTGATCTGCCCATCACCTGTAGGAAACTCCAGGGACCAGTGCTGACCGGATCCATGCAGCCTTTAACGTGGCTCACCATTTCCAACCCAGCTCCAAGCAGGTTTTTTAGGGAAGGGCAGCGTTTACTGTCAATAAGGACAAAGTGTCCTGCCTTAGGAGGAAGTGTCCACAGCCAAACTTCAGCGTTAGAAGTTTCTGTTGCAAAAGAAGCCCAGGCAGCACTATTCTGCTTCGGATATAAAAATGAGAGAGGTCAAGAGCCTACCCAACTGCTAAGCTGAGATGCAGTAGAGCTAAAAGGGAGTAATATCTAAATAGACAGCGCTTATCTAGAGCAATGTATTTATCTGTCTTAAAGTGTAATTAAATGCTGTAGATAGCACAAAGGCTACTTGTGATGCTTTTCATTATAACCTGGCAGAAGATATCATCAAAATGCTTCAACACAGTTCCCCAATGGGTCAACAATCAACCCCACCAGGGGGGAAAAATAATAATAATAATAATAATAATAATAATTAAAAAATCACTTTATTCAGGAACTTCTTTTACTCCTGGAGATTCCCTGGGAAGATCTTTCCCCTCCACTCCCCCCTTGGCTTTGCCAGGGGATCAGCAGTGCTGTGGAATAGCGGGGGACCCTATGGCACAACGACACCGTGAATCAGCCCTTGCTGGTGGTGCTGGTGGTGCTGGTGGTGGTGGTGGTGCTGGTG